CACACACACACACACACACACACACACACACACACACACAGTGTTGGACTGTAAAAATATTCACACGCACACAAATATGTGACCTGTCAAATGGAACTGAGTATTAAGTCTCTCTGTGGTTTGTTGAGATAAACACAGCTGTAGTACATTGATTTAAAAAATAAGTGATAATTGGATTTTGTTAAAATATGAAGGAAAATACCTTATCTGTGTTTTCCTTGAAGGAAATGTTTGGAATATAATCCTAAAAACTGTTTTGAAGCACTTTTCTGAGCYGGACCAACAACTAAGCTGAAAACCCTAAATGTTCCTACTTTCCCCGTGTGCTGGTGAAGCTATTTACACCAGCTGAGAAATCCCAGTATCTATAAGTTTAAGACGTCCTCTTTGTAAATGTTGCAACTAAAAGGTTCCAGTGGTTATCCTCAGTATCAACTAAATCAGTCTGGGACTAATCATGATATCAGGATGATCCAAGAATCAAAATATAGCTGAAAATGCCAGAAATCTGAAAATGACTGCTCCCCTTTTACTTTAATCATTTAATTTTTTTTATTCAAAAGCCACGTAATTGTGTCAAAATTCACCTGAGGGAAATCTATTGATGTGGAAAGCAAATTAATAACAGCCAATCACATTGTGTTGTGAATCTGTTCCTAAGGTTTGGTTCATTTCTAGTCTGACTGCGTCAAGCTGCTCATTTGTTTATTTCCCTTCTGAGTTTTACAAATGTTTTTTTAATGTAGCAGTGATCCAGGACCAGCAGAATGTGCGCATCAGACAGACTTACTGTATCTCTGACCATTGCCTCTGTGACCAGATACATTTGTCATCATTTAGTTTAGATACTGTTTAAAAAGACACTAGAATCAGAGACATACATGAAGATGGTTTAACCCTTTTGTTTTGAAGGGGGTGGTGAAAGACAAGTTTTTCAATAAGTAACATTTTATTAGACTTTATTTTGGTGCAAAAMGGGTATTAGCCTGTGAAGGAGCCAGCCATGGCTATACATACAGTATAACACCTGAAAGCTCTTCATTCAGCTGTTAACATGCACCTCTCAGTGTTTGCATTTGTTTTATACACAACCACCAACACTGACTACACACAAGTAGCATCATTTCAGAGGGAGTGTGCATAATTGTCTTGTACGCTGCAAAGATGCATAGAACAATTTCAATCAGACACTAAGAAGTGAAGTGTGTTCAGCCCTCTGCCCAGCCTGTCTGAACATTTAACACCACAATGTGAGCAGAATTTAAATCAGCGAGGCTGCATTATTTAGAGAAGAACAAGAAAGCTGACCYAAAGAGTCAAACACAAACAATCAGGACTTGTTCTGTGTCAGACACACACATCTTAAAGTGTTTTTATGGGAGCATAATACAGTATTTACTGGTGTTGTCTGAGAATCTTGGAACAGACTATGAATCTTACAAAGCTGGGGTAAATCCCAAATAAATAAATCTTTAAAAGCTTCAGAATATTGTCTTTTATCAAAACTCCACCAGATCTTAAAGTGGATATTAACTCTGACTCTGGAGGGAGTAAACCCCAGTTTCTGAGCGTAAATATTTATACACACTTTAATTAATATCAGATAAACAATCTGTGATCGTCATGATGTCAAATTTGAAAAATACAACCAAATCTCATTTAGTGCTTTTGTCACATTTTCACTATTCTTGCACAAAATTTATTTTAGCTTCTCTACATTCTGTCTCTTTCCTGTCTTTTTCATGTCTCTTTAATGTCCTTTCATGTGTCTTTCATATTCCTTTTGTGTCCTTTTATCTCTTTTTTTCTTTTTGATGTCTCTTTCATGTGATTTTTTTTGTCTCTTTCAACTCCTTTCATGTCACATTCACATCTCTGTCATGTCTCTTTCATGTGTCTTTAATGTCCTTTAATGCATTTTTATTGTCCTTTCTCGTTTATTTCAAGTTTATTTCATGTCTCATGTGTTTTTGTGTCATTTCACATTTTTATGTCCTTTCATGTCTCTTTTGTGTATGTTTATCTCTCTTTTATGTCTTTTTCATGCATATTTCATGTTGTTTCATCTTTTTCATGTTCTTTTTGTCTCTGATTTTTTTATGTCTCTGTCAACTCTTTTCATGTCTCTTTCATATCTTTGTCATGCCTTTTTAACATTTTTTGCATTAGACAAGTGTACTGTAGTGCTGAGTGCACTTGTCTTGTGTTCAGAAACCTTCTCGTTAAATGTTCATTGTACTTTGTTCCAGTGTTGATCTGATCTTATCATTATTGAAAAGAGAGAATGTTTTGTGCCTAACACTGACCCCTGTGGGATGCCACAAGCAATGTTACTCAGCTGCCACCAAACCAAATTGTAGCTCAGGATCTGTGAATTTGGTAGTTACAGTTAGATTAGCTGACTGTGGTGGCCATGTTTGATTGGGCTGGGCCCAAAAGTTAACCATTTGTAGAAATACAACCAGCATTCACTTTGTTTGTTCATTCATCTGTCAATCCTTCATATATGCATGCATCTTCCTTTCATGTTTGTTTGATAGCAAAATATCTAATAAACCACAGGGTGGGTTTTAATGAAACATCCATGAATTGCTCAGTATGATTAAATGTTTTTTTTAGCCATTACAACTCAGTTTGACTGCTACAGCCAACTAACACTAAACAAAAAAACTGGATACAAGTCAGATAATTTTACATGAGCTAAAATTTGGTGTGGTAGTGTGAAAATATTCCTAATGTTTCTTTCCTATGCTGCATATAAAAATATTCATGTATTTCCATTTTAACAAGCTTTAAATTAGATATTTTTAAATGTCTCATGAAGGATAAAATGATCTTTATAAATTGTTTACAAAATGATTAAACCTCAGGAAGTTAAATAAATGTATTTACCGTATTTATTCATGTGTACTTGAGCTGAAAAAGCATTAAAAATCTAATTATCAATAACTCATGTATAATACTACCCCCCATGGGTGATTTTTAGGGTTAAATTTCTAGTATTATACATGAATAAATACAGTATATACTATATAAAGCTCCAAGTTGGTGAATTTCAGTTCAACTAAAGAAGTCACATGACCACATTCTTCAGTCACATTCCTCAGTTCTAGAAGAAGGACTATCAGATGGATCATGTTAGTGAGAAGCTTCAGAACCAATCAGAGAGATCCATGAGGAACCAAAGGACTTCCCCCTCGTGGATTAACCAATCAGAAGAATGAACTGTGAACTAAGGTGGCTGTAAGATACAGCCCTCTTGTCTCTACCCATTGAGGGAGACACAGCTGGGAATTCCTTTGTTCAACTTCTCTGTAATAAATGTATTAACTTTTTTTAAGTGGTTGTCCAGTCTCTCATGAAAATGAACACAACAGTAGTAGCTGAGAATCATCACTGATTTAAGTCTACATATATTTGTAAACGAGGCTCCAGGTCAAGTTGGATAACCATTAAGCTAATTAAAATAAAATAAAAGTAGAGGATTAATAAGGACAAGTTCAACTGAGGAACATCAGTTCAGAGCTTTAAACATCAACTCAGTTCACATGAGAACAATCTCTATACCAAACCTTTTTACTTGTAAACCTGGCACTATTAAAATGTCCTTATCCACATATACAGGAAACAACTGCACCAGACCTGGATGTGGTCTGTAATMCTGACAGTCCTGCAGAAACAAACAAGAGGTGGAGCAGATTCTTCAAAGAGGACTTCTACTTTGTGTCACTATGCTGAGAGACTGATGGAGAGCTCGGTCTGAATCTGCAGACGTATTGTGTGGACCCTTCTGCCCCCCGCAGCAGCAGCAGCAGCAGCAGCAGCAGCAGCAGCAGCAGCAGCAGCAGCAGCAGCAGCAGACATGTTTCAGACTTGCTGCGCTCTGATGCTGCTTCTGATCCAGTTCTTCTCAGAACCTGTGGAGCAACAAGACACACACACAATGATGCCCTCATGGTGGGTCTGAACAGGTAGGAGCTGCAGGTGGGGGCTGAGTCGGAGCAGCCAATAGGAGCAGAGTGGGCGGGGCCAGGCGGCTGACCGTCCTGTAATGTAGTATCAGCGCTTCAGCCTCCTCCGGATTCTGGTTCATGGATTATCCAGGTTCTGCGGCCAGGGATTCTGAAGCACCTCTACCGGAACCACAGAGTGGACCTACAGGTACGTGCTCGGTTCTTCTCCATCACATGAGGACACGCGCGCGTGCGGAGAGGAAGTGTGAGTGTGGAAATGCTGAGCTGCAGGGAAACAGTGATGCTGCTGCTCTCCCGCTCAGCGCGCGCTGCATCCRGCAGAAAGGGGGTCCGCGGGTCCGAGGGACCAGGGGTGACCGGGAGAGACCGTGTGTCAGTCCTGGGGTGGTCAGAGCCCYTCCTCGGTCTGCAGTCCACCAGCCGCCTGTGAGTTCTCGTGCTTCAGACACGCGCTGATGAATATTACAGCTGAGCGCCTGCAGGTTCTTCTGCTCTGTCCTCTGAAGGTCATACTTAAGGTGGGCTAGAAGCCAGGGGGGCGGCAGAGTCCAGGCTGTAAACAAGACCTGCACRCACTTTGTGGTGAATGTTTGTCTGCTCCACGTGCAAAGAGGAGCAGCTGTCGCTTCCGCACCTGTTGGTGTGTTTTTTCCTCATTAAGCTGACTTCTTTCTGTCAGACAGGAAACAGGTCAGCATCAGATCCAAACTGTGCTGATGCTCAGCCCACCACCTGTCTGTCCGCTCAGGACCTCAGGACGGAACAAGACCAGTGCTTTGAGGTTTTRGAGGATCTGTGCTCAGGTTTTCTATTCTAGGTGTGATAATAATCATAACTAGATACCACATAGCAGTAATATAATGACCCCCGCACGCACAAATGCACCAGAACTCAGAAGTCTTTATTCCTAATAGATGTCATGCTACTAGGTGCATACTAAAATTGTAGTGGTTTGTGGTTGACCTGAAGGATAGCCCCTCATCAGAGCTAAACAACCAACGAAAATCTGAAGCTCCTATTCTTAATAGTTTTTGAGCTATAACCATTTTTGTATGTCCAGATACCACTTTTTCAGATAAATTGGGGGTCCGGGGGGTGGGGGCACTGATTGGTGGGCCTGATGGATAGAGCATCTTATGTGTTGAGGCTGACTCTCAGCTCACAGCACATTAATAAATTTGTGGAGTTATAATCAGATCTATGCTTGTTTTGCAGCTGTGTTGAATTCAATAAATCACTTAATTTTTGTGCTTGCGATGCAGCTGCCTGGATAAAATTGACAAACGTTACTTTAGTGGTTGCAATTTGCCCTGAAGTTTTCACACGTTAGGTATTGTGTTTATTTCTACTTTGTTATTTTATGATATTTGAATGTTCAGTTTTCTTCTTACTTCACCACAAGCTGTGAGCAGTAAATGGAGCAATAAATGAGGCCAGCTCCATGTGAGGTGCAGAGTTAGTGGAGTGACGGCTGAGAAATAGCCATGCATGAACAACATGTACAGAGGTGAAATGATGCCTCTCTGGTGGGTAGGAGCCAGAGCTTGTTGGTGAGGTAGAACAATACCAACTAATTAGGGCTGCAACTAACGATTATTTTAATAATCGATTAATC